AACAGGAAACATATGAGAAACACATGAGAAACAAACAGGAAACACATGAGAAACAAACAGGAAACACATGAGAAACAAACAGGAAACACATGATCGTAGCATGTTTCGTGCACATGTCACTCACTTGGTGGTCTGCTGTTGCATTCTGGGAGAGAATCCGAGACCGGCCAGGATGACCGAGGCTCTGATTGGACGAGAGAGATGGAGATGGTTAACAGGGTCACCATCAGATTTATTCCACCTGTCATCCAGGTGTTATAACTTATTTTCAAACCGACTGTGAAAATAAAGAGGGCTGTTGCCATGGTTACCGGGCCGGGGCTTTGTCGGCTTCGATTTCCTCCAGTTTAACGTAAATCTCAGACAGCCGGACGCTCTCCATCCCGTCAGCCCTGAAACGACAGCAGAGATCAGGACCGGCTCGTCACAGGTCATCGGGGACGAACGAGCCGCCTCCAGCCGCGCCGTGATTGGCCGAGCTTACGTTCCGCTGGCGATGCGAGCGTTCAGCCGCCGCTCCTCATCCAGCAGGCCCTCTCGCAGCGTGTCGCTCTGCAGGACGCTCTGCAGCGCCACGGTGTCGTCCCCCGCCACTTCCTGCTCCACGTGCAGGATGGAGATGTGCGGCGGCACGCGCAGGCTCCGACTCGCCAGCATCTTCAGCAGCGTGGTCTTCCCCAGGCCGTTCCGACCGATCAGACCGTACCGCCGCCCTGACGCCAGGCACAGCTCCGCCCCCTGCAGCAGACACCTGGACACAGTGACATCAGCGTGGAGGTGAGCTCTGATTGGCTGCGACGCCCCCTGCTGCCTCTTAGTGTCCTCACCTCTCTCCGAAGGAAATGTCAAAGTTTTCTATCCGAATGTCGTAGCTCCGGTTCTTCCCCGATTGGTCGACCCGGTTCTCCTTTTTACTGCTGGCCTGGCTGGCCGACGCCTCCTCCAGGACCCTGAGAGGAGCCAGACAGGTGAGGACAGGTGAGGACAGGTGAGTAAAGGGGACAGAAAGACAGCTGAAGGACTCACAGTGGACTGGAGTTCTTCTGAGAGTCCTTCTCATTGCGGCGCTCAGTTTTAGCTTTCAGCTTAGCTTCGGCTTTTTCCAGCTTCTTGGCATCGACCGTCTGCAGAGGAGCAGGAAAACTGTCAGAAAACAGTCAGTGTTTGTTTTTCCTGCTGACAGCATCAGTAAACAAATCAATTTAATCCATCTGGGATCGATTTTATTTACATTTGGGGAAACTGATTGACAGGACATGAGACTGATTGTGATGAAATGTTGTTGTTTTATTTGTTTTAATAAGTAATAGGTTTTTATGAGTTTATTAAACATAACAGGAGCTAACAGAAACATTACAAATATACAGTTTTCAAACAAAAGGAGTGGGCAGAAGTGTTTTTATATTAACCCTCCTCTTCTCCAGCAGCCTTATTCTCTTCACTTCTTATTTATAAAAATAATTATTAATTAACTAAAATTCATTCCTCCAACATCACTAGCTGCGTTTCCACTGCTAATG